TTCATATAACACTCTATCTAACTGGCTAAAACAACATGAATCTTAAAATCTCAAGCAAAGTTAATTCTATTAAAAATTCCTGTTTGCTGGATGTTATGGTAGATGTTTCCAAATACACCAGCAACAAATCCTGAAATAACCTTATTCTTATTCTTTGATTGTTTATCTGTCTTCTCCTATCAGAAAGTGACCTTCAAGGGAATAAGTTTATACTCCTTGTTCTCCAATTATCTTCCCATAGTAGGGACTCAAGGAATATTTGTTAATCAGCATACCAAATGACTAGGTAGAGAAATGAGTAGTATCTGGTTATATTTTTAGCTATAAGTTGGCCACACACTAGATGTTTCTAGAAATTATTATTCAATCTTTAATCAAATAATCTGGATCACTGTTAAACCTACACAAACTTTTAAGGAGTAGATAAAAAAAACCAGAAATGGTTATACCATTCATCTCTCATAGGCTCGCATTTCAGTTTTAAAATCTGGGTTAAGTGAAACAAAATTTTAAATGCTAAAAGGAATTCTATTAAAGAGATGCAATAATTTGAATTAAACATCTTTTTCTACTACATGTACAATTAGAAAATACAACTTGTATAAAAAGAAACACTGATGAAAACAAAGCATTTTCCAAAATCCGTTAGCTCATAACATTTTCATTCATTAGAATCACTTATAAAAAAATTTTTACTTAGGAAATGTAGCAATGACGTTAAATGTACGTTAAATAACTACCACTGATAGGAACTTTATAGATACTACAAAAACTGCTTCAGAAAACCAAGCTTGTAACAAAGCTATTGAAATTATTTGAATTAGTTTCACAATCACTAACAATATTTGTGATCATCTGAATTAATCTTTAAAATTATCAAAATCCCAATCAACTTGATTAGATTGCTACAGAGCCCAAACACTCTCAAGGAAGACTATATTAAAGATACATCTTTGTAATAATATGAACAATTAACAGAATTAATGGAATACAGAAAGTAACTCTTTGCAAATAAACTTTATTCCCCTTCTAGTTAAATTATGAACTTATGTTTATTTATAATTTGAATAAGGCCTTCAATACATTTTATTTCTATTCAAAAAAAAAGAGAGAGAGAAAGAGATATGAAATTTCTATGTGAAAATGTAATTTCCATATTTGAGACAAAGAAATTTCAAGGAAAAGAAAGTGCCCAAGATGACGTTCCAAGTAAACCATTTCAATAATGTGGGTTTTTTTCCTTATTCATGACATATACCAATAGTTAACACATAATTTATTAGTGTCCTACTTACTAAAACCTTCTAACACTGCATGGTTTGGCAAAGTAATTCATGTCCCATTATTTAAAATCCCACCACATTATAAATTCAAGCACAGAAACCATCTGTTACATGCTAAGCAGACAAATGCCATTTAATCTGCATTTCAGGTTGCATATAGTAGGTGTGGGGGGCATGATTTAAATCTTACTAATTCTATGAAATATTTAGTAATTTTAATTGAATGAAAATTGTCCCATCTCTATAACCATAGAGACATAAAAAATGCATAATAATAACTACATTATTTGAGTAAAAAAAGAAACCATTCATGTATGTGTTTAAAATATTTAAAGCAGTGACAGCACCAATATTTTCATTACTAATTATTTGGCATTTATAGGTAAACTGATAGTGATATGGTCTGCTATTCAATATTTTACACATATAAACACAATAATAATATAAATCATTAGATACAAAAGATGACATTGCTACTCTTAAATGATTTGGGTTCAATCAATCACCCTCTTGAATAACAAACAGCTTCCCTTTAGAATAAATATCACAGTTACATTTTGGGGATTTTAAACAAAATCCATGTATTTTAAATATTGTTCTAATACCAGAAGATACCAAATATAGTCTTACTGACTTCCAATGTTCTCACTTCTTCATGCACCCTTCTTCTCATATCACCAACATGGTCAACTAAGTTTGTTACATTAGAAGCCAAAGGGGTCATTGCTGATAGTCAAAGTGATTCGTGATTCTTTCTGAACATAACTGAAATACTGAAATGGCATTATGGATATCAAACTGTATTCCATCTTAGAATGTTATCACAAGATTCATCATCTCCTAATGTTTATTTATTAATTTTATGTTTATACCTTGATACTTGGCATAGATGTTCAACAGTTTAGTAATCTGAGCTTGATGCGTACCAGCTGGGCCTGTCAAAACTAGCTTACATAAAAATCAACATAACATATAAAACTTACAACTTAGTAAAACAATTCATGACCTAGATAATTTTTTTCTTCCTAAGGTTTTTCCCAAATGGAAGTATGGCTGTCATTGTGTACAGGCCTCAATACTTTCAGGGAATATTTATACATTCTCTAAATGAGAACATTAGGTTATAAGAGAAATAAATGTTATCTCCAACTTCCAAACATCACTTGAAAATCAACTGTTTGGAATTCAAGATCAGAGGTCCACCTTCAAGAGGCAATTTGCCTCACAATCACAGATATAACTTTATGTATTTAAAATGTAAATGGTATAAAAGCAATAAAATGAAACCAAAAACAGTAACAGTAAAGACTTTGGAAATTTAAATGTCTGAAGATAGGTGGCAATTCACCTTTCCCAAACCCCTGCTCTGTCAACACAAACCAGAGCGATCCACTGCGATGGGGGTCCTCCACAGCCCACTCTAGCTCAGAGACTCCAAGCCTGGACCATGCTCAACCTCACCACTGGACTAACGGGAAGGAAGTAAAAACTTACTACTAGCTTTTTCATTTGTTTGAATGTAAGGGCCTAAAAAACGTCACATCTAGTACCTCAGCAGTGCTTCACAGAGTCTGCTGAATAAATGAAGAGATAAGGTACCCTGAAGGATTTTAAAATGTGCATTACATAATCCATTCCCTCAAGAAGCTCTTAAATGAGCAGTGGGGAGATAAGAAGAGCCTCTGGTATCAGTCACACTAGGACAACCAAGTTTAGTAACAAACAGAGGTTCACCTGGAGGTTGACAATCTAAACCTCCTTCATTTATTTATTCATTCAAAAATGTTTACAGAACCATTCCAGCATGCATCAGACATGTTGTTGGTAAGGGATACAAACATAGCTACAACCACCCCCCCCACCTCCTGCTCCATCTATGCCAAGTCGCTCACAGAGTTACTGTCTGGGAACTAATGAGAACTAGGTGCGGGACCGCCGGCAATCCTTTAGCTTCCCTTAGCACAGGTTCAAATCTGCCAAAAGAACACGACTACCTAGTATCTTCACTCATAATAAGATGTAAAGGGTCAAATATATGTGAATTTCCTTGGAAATTACTACTGCTCTGGGGTCACACAATATTGATGCATTGCAAACCTTGCCACAGTTTAACTAAAATATGCCATGCATTCTCGATCTCTTCAGCATTGTGCCTCTAAGCACTAGACAAGTAGGTACTCAATAAAATACTAAGTGAATCAAGAAAAACTAGCTTTTCTAACACCATGAGGTCATCATTAAGAAAACACAGTATGAAAGCTGGCCATTTTAAAAGCAAACATAATTTTCTAATGTAAATAATCATCCCATTATTCATTTGCTTTAAAAAATCTGATTTTCATTTCCTAGGATCTATCCTCAATTTCCTATCTCACAAATATCATTTCTTCTTGCACTACATTATTATCCATCATTACATACCAAGCTTAAATTTGCATCTTTATATGGTGTGCCTTAAGCACAGCTCAGTCATACTTTTGAAAATGTCAGACATCTCAAATTGTTTTCAAATGTTTGAGGTTTATAATAGCTGAGATATGCCATGTCAAATTTTGTTAATATTAAATGTTATGGTTGTTTTGAAAAGAATACATCTCTCTGGCATATTTATTATTTCTCTCTCCCTATCCCTTACCCCTCCCTCTCAATACACACACCACACACACATGCACACACACTCATGCACGTGTACTTTTTATTTTAAGAGGGTACGTGGAGCCCAACACGGGGCTCAAACACATGACCCTGAGATCAAGACTTAAGCTGAGATCAAGAGTCAGATGTTTGACCAACTGAGCCACCCAGGCACCCCTTTATGTACTTTAAAATCTAATCTTTGCTTTGATGCCAAAAGGTTTATCTCTTTAATTTAAAAACTATGTAAGAAAATTATAGAAACTCTGAAAACTGGAGGAAAATCAGCTCTAAACATCATAGTAGTACCACAGTTCTAACAGCATAACATTTTAATAGTGATCATTTTTAAATTAACAGCATTTTTAAACTTCATAGCATTTTATTACACTAAATAAATTCCCAGAAAAATAGGATATTGTTTTTAACATAAAAATTATTCATATAGTTAAAATCACACATAACATAAATTTCTACTATAAAAAGAGTATTCATGGAAATAAGATGCCCTATTTAGCCAAATATAAATTCATTTAAAATTAAAATTATACTTCAATACTCAAATCCAATATATTAATACATAATCAACTTGGGGGGGGATTTATTTCACTTCACATCTCTTTTGAGCCCACATTTCTTTTTTCATAAATATAACAGCATCCTAAGTTCATGAGTGTGAACACGACATCAAATGTAAAGTCAAGAGTTCTTTTCTGTGTATACACAGAAAAATTGTTTAAAGACTTCTTTTTGCAAAATGTAATAGTATACATAAATTTTTGAAATATAAAGAACATTTGTGTAATCATTAATATCAATCATTAAAGTCAAGTCTAATATTGACTTCTGCATTTTTCAATATGGTCATGTCTAAATAAATTTTCAAGAGTTCTTTGTAAGTTTTTTTAAATCAAGGATCTTATTTGTTGCCCCTCATTCCAACTTATTTTATCTTTTTAAACAGAATAAAATGTCTACAGAATTAAAATGCTAATTTTGTCTACTTTATATGTTATTTTCCAGCAATTTTCTTGTCACTGCAAACTAGAAAATAATCTGCACTTAATCTGAATGAGCTCTTACCTTCTGGTTTGTTGTTTTTCCTCTTCAGCCATTTTTCTACTGTCTCTGTACTAACACTTTCAGATACAAACTCGTCTAACACCTGGGGATGAAGAGAAAGATATGCCTTCACTTTTTCATCTGTCAAACCTGTAAAATAATTAAAAAGAATAAAATTAACCTAGTTGACACCTTCATAAGGATCAAAAATACAGAAAAATGACACCTGATGCTAAAATTGATTTAAGACATAAGAAGAATGTACAAATGTGCACACACATGATGGAACAGTATTGGTCCATGAAGAGGACTTAAATTCAGACGTTACAACATAGAGAAACTCTTAAAACAACACCGTAAGGAAACAAAGCCAGAGATGAAGGATGACTGTTATACAATTACACTTATATGAAATATGTAGAATAGGCAACTTCACAGAGATAGAGCCGATCACGGGGGGCAGAATGTGGAATCATTACTTAATAGGGACAGAATTCTGTTTTGGATGAAGGCCAAGTCTGAGAAGTGGACAGAGGTAATAATGGTCACAGTCCATGCTGTGAGGATAATTACTGCCACTGAATTATATACTTGAAATGGTTAAAATGACAAATTTTATATTATATATATTTTACCACTATGAAAAATAGTAAAAACGTCAAAGGTTAAAACTTTAGCAATTTTAAACTATAGATAGTCCATCATATTACACAGCTGTCTTCCAACAGCAAATCCCAGGGTTGTGCTGGAGCCAATGCTGTGCTCCCAAGTGGTACAGGTAAGCCTTACAAAGTACTCAGATCCTCCGTTTGCAGTCACCAGAGCTTTAATTTGCAAAGTCAGAGGGGCAAACAGGAGAATTTTAGGTGCTAAAACGATGTATTTTAGGTGGTAAAACGATGTTTACTGACTAGATTCTTATCTTTCATTGTTTATTGGTGCATTTTAGGTGGTAAAACGATGTTTACTGAATAGATTCTTCTCTTTCATTGTTTACAGCATAAATTCTACTTTCTCCCAGGGGCACTGAATCCAATGATATAACCATTAATCAGCTCAGAGCAATTGACATTTGCTCATTGGTATTCCATGTATGTAGTCAGTTTCACTGAAATAATTTTTCAGTCTAATAACAACTGTTGAATATATATAGGATTTTCAAACATAGTACTTTTACATATTTTCATGTTGAACATACAAAATTATGTTTTGAAATTGGCGCTTCATGTTGGTAGGCCATTCATTAAACAACTCTAAATCACAAACAGACTATCAATAATTATTACTCTGTGATGGTAATTATTTTTACTGTTATAGCCTCTGTGTGAATTACTCAGTAAATTACCATCCTTGGGGATAGTCAGGTAAAAAAAAAAAAAAAAAAAGGAGGTAGAAAATTGTCCTTTCAGAGGCAGAGAGAAGAAAAGGAAGCATATCTTTATGACTCTAGGGAATAGGCCGCATGTCCCCACCACTAAACAAGCCACAGAACTAACACGTGTTAATTAATTCTGCTGGAGACTAAAATCACAACTGTTTCGATTCTTCCAACAGAATGGTACAGTTGAGAAGGCAAATAATTTTTTTCAACGAATTCAGTATTTCCACAATTTAAACTAGTAGATAAATAAAGATGAATATATAATTACATAGTTGTATTAGATAAAAGAAGAATAAGACCCCTGTCTGTGTTCACATGACAAGAGCTCCAGTGATGTAAAATTAAATCTGAGAAATTCTACAAGGTGCTAAAAATAAAAGACTGAATAAAGTAAGAGACAGTTGTCCTGACAGGGTAAATTATCCCTCAGATACAAAAGGCACAGGATGCTGAAGTAAACTAATAGCTGATTTGATCTTCAAAAAGACAAACGAAGCCAATTTCATACTCCCTTCAAGCATGTCCTTCAGTCCTTCATAGTGGGTTCATAATGGACATTTCATTCCTCCTTAAAATTTATCACTTTTGTGACATAACACTGTTCTTATCTTAACTTCCTATCTGCTCCTTACCTCTGCTTTCTCTTCATTAATCTACGATGATAACAAAATCTGAATCAGGAATCGTAATATATTTTTGATCTCCAGTCCTTGGATACTCTTCCATCTTGACTCAAAACTAAATGAGTCATCTCCATCCCACTTCTTCCCAAAGTGATCTCAACTCTCAGCTTTACTCTCTCCTTTTCCCAGAGACCCAGGCCAGAAATACAAAGTCATAATTGAATCATACCCCTTGCCATCTCATTTCATCTTAGTACGTTTATACAAGTCCTATTTGTCATATTATGTATCAGCTTAAAGGACTTGTATCTAAAATATACAAAGAACACTTAAAACTCAACAAGAAGATTACAATCCAATTAAAAAAGAGTCAAAGATCTGAACAGACATTTCATCAAAAAAGATACAAATATGATAAGTATATGAAAAGATGTTCATCTGTCATTTGTGAATTAAAGTTAAAACAAAACTGAAACTCCACTACATACCTACTAGAATGGCTAAAATCTAAGAACTGACATTTACTGCTAATATGAATGCAAAATGGCAGTCTCGTTGGAAGACTGGTAGTTTCTAATAAAGCTAACTATAATCTTACCATATGACCTAACAATCAAACACAAGTTGTGGCATACCCATACAATTAAATATTATTTAGCAATAAAGAGAAATGAGCTAATGAGGGGCACCCAGGTGGCTCAGTTGGTTAAGCATCTCCCTTTGGATCTCTCTCTCTCTCTGATAAATGAATAAAACTCTTTAAAAAAAAAAGAAAGAAATGAGCTAATGAGCCATTAAAAACCATGGATTAGGCTTAAATACATACTGCTAAGTGTAAAAAGCTACTATGAAAAGACTGTATGTTGTGCAATTGTAATTATACAACATTCTGGAAAAGGCAAACTATAGGGATAGAGAGAAAAGATCAGTGGTTGCCAGGTGTTCAAAGGGCAGGGGAGAAAGACAATGCGTGAAGCATAGGTCATACTTTAGGGTTGTGAAACTATCCCATAAAATATTATAATGTTGAGTAAGTGACACCATGTATTTGTAAAACCCATAGATGTAAAATTTTAAGAGATCATTTAGAAAGTTAGGCTATCCTAGAATGGAGGCAGGCTATGGCAGGCTATGGCAGAAGAATCTAAATGTATCACCAACGTATAACACCACCTCACTGAAGGAGGTGGGGGCTAAGGTGCTGACCTAAGCAACTTTAGATATGAATGGAATCTGTAAGAAATTCCACGGAATCATTGTACTCTATTGATAAAGTTATCTCACGGCAGGTAGAGCTTAACAATTCTCAAGCCACTATTCATTTATACTGAAATCAAGCAATTAAATAAGTAGATGGTGGGAATGAGGCTTCTCAATGGCAGAGCATGACGTTATAAATAAGCAAAAGGAGTCTAGAACAATCAATAAGGGTAACGGATTAGAGTTTGATGTCAGTATGAACTCACATTTAACATAACACTGATACAGATGGTTACATATTGAAATACCGGCAGGTACACTATGCATATACTCAGGTCAGTACACACATATATTTCCTTGTTATATTAGCCGAGAGGACCTACGAGCGACAACATGCCAACAGTATGCCAGTACCAACAAGTATATGGAGCACCAAGATCTTGGTTTCTAATAGTACTCTCCAATAAAAGGTACCACAGCTCCTTGGAGAAATGGCTGAGTCTAGGACAAGTACACAAAATATTTAAGATGATTTGGAGCATCACATTTCCACAGAGTAAGGAAGTGCTAAGTGTGTGTGTGTGTGTGTGAGCGTGTATAATTACAATTACACAAAATGATGACATATGCCAAAAGGATACAAAAGTTGATTGAAAGAGCTCTCAATGATTCACACATGGAACCATTTGAGTAACACAATATAATCCAATTATAATTCAAAGAGTAAAATAATATCCATGCTGTGGTCTAAATGTTTGTGCCCTGCCCCTCCAAATTCACATGTGAAAATCCTAATTCCCAAAGGAAATAGCACTAATAGATAGAGCCTCAGGGAAATGCTTACATCATGAGGGCAGAACCCTTACCAATGGGATTAGTGTTTTATAAAGGAGGCTCCAGGGATCCCCAGACCCCTTCTACCATGTGAGGATACAGAATGTCTGTGACCTAAAACAAGGCCCTCACCCAACCAAGCAAGTGCAATGACCTTAGACTTCCCAGCCTCAGGAACGTGAGAAATACATTTCTGTTGTTTATAAGCCACCCAGCCTGTGGTATTTTGTTATAGCAGTCTGAATGGATGAAGATAATCCAGGAGTCCACACTGATATAAATAAATGACTTAATAAATAAACAGAGAAGAACAAATATCCCACTCAGAAGAATTCCAAATAATGTACGTAGAAACTCTGCCCTCCGGAAGGCAGAGCATAATTCCCCACTCCTTGACACTTACTTTGTATAAATTACTCAAAACTAAAATTTTAAAGATCAATTGAGTCATAAATGAGTTATGATGTCTAAGTAAACTTCAAGACTAAAAAAATTAATTAAATCTTGGATTCAAGTATGTAGAATAGAATGAAATGCCAAATACACCATTTTGGTTGTAAACTCTATTTAGAATTCTAAAGAGTATTATCACATAGCTTTATATCTCAAATGTCGCAGAAGATATAATTTTCTTCCCAAATTACTATCCACATTTCAAGAAAATCATTATCTCGTTCAACAAGAGAAGGGTAGGAAGAGGCATTCTGACCTGGTAATTAAAAGTACAGGCAAAGGTAATTAAAAGTTCCTTCATCTCATCTAATGACCTGAGGATGAACCTGGGCAAAGCACCTTCTCTCTCTAAATCTGGCTTCTTATATGTATGGGAATGATATCTGAGTGGGAATGGGAATAATAACACTATCTATCACACAAGGTCATTAGAATAATTCAATAAGGTAATCCATAGACAGCATTTTTGCCTGGTACATTTAATAATAGTACCAAAATGCCTTTTTTTTTTACCTGTATGAAGCCAATATACTTGCATTTGTCTAAAGGCTCAAATAACAGGCTTGTAACTTTTCATTTCTCTAAAACTTCAAATGTTCCAAAGTTTCCATTTTTTAAAAAGGTTTAATTTTTAAGTAATCTCTACACCCAATATGGGG